ACTTCAACAGTCACTGTCGTTTTTTTTTCTTATCCTCCGCCCCTCTTCCATCTCCTCCTTGCCTTGTTCATCGTTTCTCGTTCTTTTTTTTTTCGTTCCTCTTCAGTTCGGTGGTCTGTGTTCGCTACGGTTCGCTGCACGCCCTAAACCGTTCCCTTCATCCGGGCTGGGGCCTCCATCCACCGCGCGTAGTCGTCAGCACGAGCACCCGTGGGGAAGCCGTGCTCATCAAGTGAGCGGCGTGCAAAAGGCATGTAGCGTCCCAGGCGCCTTGCCATGTTTGCCTTTTCATCCTGCAGTGCGCCCTGTTCCGTTGACGCTCCTTGGGATTCACTCTCTCGCAGCATGGCGGCCCACTCCTGTTCAACAAAAGTATCCAAGAGGGAGGCTGCGACGTTAACCTTCTGCCGATTTACCCGCCGCACCGTCTCCCTGTGGAATTCCAACGCCGTGTGGTATAACGCGCGAGCGAGTTGATAAATGCGTCTCTCAAACTCCCTATGCTTCACGGCGGCTTCTGCACTAGCAAGTTTCTCTGACAGGCCAACGTGAGACAAGAACGAAATGTGAGGATCTTTTTTTATGATGGAAACAAAATGTGGTAGTGTTGGCAAGTACGGCGGAAACGTATTCCCTGCCTCCGTCACACGCCGGCAGTTGCTCGCCTCTGCGTCCTCAAAGCTGCGACGATAAATTTCCTCAGTGGCGGAATCATACTCCTTCAGGGCTTCTATGCCCTTTCGTGTGAGCCTGTCACGCTCCTCTGCTCGCACAGCCCTCGGGTTAAAGTAACTCCAATCGGAGTAACTAGAAAAGGTTGAGGGATGGTCGTCAACGTGCGTGCTGCGCAGCAAGGTCTGGAAACTGACGATGTCATCACGGTGGTGTTTCTGCTGCAGACGACGCAAATCCTGCGCCCGGCCGTCGATGGCGAATGCCACATTTCTCGGAAAGGGAGGAAGCAGATGGCCACGCTTCTCTGCAATAACATGGGCAAGGCTGGCACCGTCAATTGCGCCTCCTGAGGATTCTGTGGAATACGGCCGTGTAAGGAAGGCGTGGGCGCTGGGAAACTTCACAAAGAGATTCTCCGAGACAATCAGGTTGAACTCACCAAAGAGAAGGATCTTGAGCAGCGCCAAGTTCTCCTCACAACGCCACAAAGCCTCAATGGGTGGATACGAACTAGGCGTTACGAATCGGCGAGCGTTCTTCTCCTTGGCGCCAGAGGAGTCCTTCTGCTCGGCGTCGCCGCGACGATCACCTCCGCGCGTGGCGGTTTTAGGAGTTTGACTATCGCCGTTCACATTCTCGCCTACGGCGGATGCGGCGGCATGAGAAGTGGCTTCCGCCGACCGCAAGGTCTCAATTGCCTGTCGCACATCCGCGTCGTCCTTCGGCGGGGGATTTGAGAAGAGTAAATCCGTCACATTCGGCTCCCGATGACAGCGCAGCACCACGTGTGCCTCCACAGCGTTGTCAATGTAGTACTTCTTTACTAGGTAGAGAAAGTAGTAGTACGCCTCTAGCGCTGGGCAGTTCACCGAGCTGGGTGCAAACACGGTCTCCTCAACGGCCTTGAAGATGTAACGGAACGAGGGTGGGTAGGACGGCTTCCGCTCCGACAAGATGGCACGATAGAGTAAGGCCTTATCCCAAATTGCGGTGGCGTCGAGGGAGCGTTCAAGCACCATCTCTTTAAACAACTCAACAAGGTGAAAGCGTGTGCATCTATCGATGTGGATGGCTGGGAACTGTGGCTGACGTTCAAAGAGGTCAAGCATACCTTGTGCCTTTGCAACCTCATCCAGGGTTTCCTGCGCATGCTTCCGCTTCATCTCGCCCGAGAGGCGACGGAACGAATGTGGAGGACGAAGAAACATGCCCGGTGGCGGGGCACCCGGCAGGCGGCCGGTCAGCTCACCGGAGGAGGTTGTCACCGCCTCACCGCTAATAAGGTTACCGTTAAACTTTTTCTCTGCTGCCGCGCGTGCATCCAGGTACTTGCCCTTCGCCTTGTAGCAGCGATAGAGCCAGTCCAAGTAGTCGGGTGAGTAGGCGATGCGCAGAGGACCGGGATTAGTGATGAGCTTCTCAAACGCCTTCTCGTCCCTCGCGCGGACGCCACGCTCCATGGCGTACGCGAAGTCATGCACCGGATTAAATTGACCCCGCGTGGTAATCTGACGCTGCTGATGGGAATATCGGTGATGAGGCGCTCCTGCCCCAATGGCGCCCACCGCAGCCGCCGCATCCCGAATGTGGCCGAGGGAACGCACTGCCCGCCGCATCATTCTCGCACGGCTCCCCTGCAACTCCCCTTTTCCTCTCGTGTATTTGGTTAGTCTTCGTTGATATATTTTCCGCCCGTGCGTCCTTCAAAGACGCGCTTCCTCGCCGTCTTCCCCGCCCTTCTACCTGCTGTGGCGGGTCAAAAGCAAGTGACCCCAGGGAAAGTTATATTGCTACCCGTCGTGCGGGATCCAGTTACGCGAAGCGGCGTCTCACAACAGTGCAATAGCGAAAGAGAAAGAGACTGTGGCGGTGACACGCATTCACAGAGAGGGGAAAGGGCAAACAACAAGAAGGGCAAGAACCAATGTCATGGGCGAAGCCGATTCAGTAATGACACAGTATTCCCCCCACCTCCTCCCCCTCAGATTTCCACTTCTCTACCTCAAGAGAGAGCGAAAAAAAAAAAAGGGAGAGCCTAACTCTACATCGTCATCTAACGCCAATAATTAAACAAGTGAATCAAACCACCTGGGCAACGGCACTACACGATGAATATGTCATCGTGTATGCTTATTTGCTTTTTCAATTTCCCCGCTTTTTTTGTTCTCTCTCTCTGGTTTCTGCATTCGACCTTCTCTCAGCTTCCGTGTACGCGCATTCGTGTGTGCAGCTGTAGTTCAGAGTGGGGAGCCTCTTTGCCCTGTTTCTTTACAACTCAAAGGCAATGTCGTGGTTGATGTTGCCGTCACCCATGTAGACGGTGCCGTACTTGTTCGTCTCCGGCACATGATAAAAGACCGAGCCTACAAACTTGGCGCTTCTCCCGAGGACGACGTTGTGCACCGGGTCGTACCGCAGCCGCCAGACTCCCCCCGGGAGATCGTCACTGATGGGAAAAAAGATGGCGTCGATGTTCTGATCCTCCTCAAGCCGCTCCAGCCCAGACTTTGCGTGCAACTGGGTTCCCTCGGACCTTGCGATTAAGTCCATGTATGGGTTCTCTGCTCGCAAGTGGTAGTAGTTCCGCAGCGAGAGTGCCTCGTCGTAGGCGCGCTTTAGCCCTGTGAAGGCGGTGTTGCGCTTGATCTCCGGCGGCAGCGTGGCATTGCGGAGCTCACGGTAGTACGCCCCACGCGGTGCGACGCGGCAGTGATAGTCGTGCGCTTCAATAAACAGCACAAGGCGCAAGGACTCCTTGTAGCTGGAGGTGCTGCCCGTCAGCTCGTCCACGACCCGATACTCGTACGAGGGGTCACCCATAAATGGCCCACGCATCCTGTACATCAGCATCTTCTTCTGCTTCTCGTTCACGACCTCGTCCGTGGCGCGCTGCATCAGGGACTCCGTCGTTCCGAGAAACACAAAAGAGAGGCCCTCGTCGACGGAGTAGTAGATGACCGGTTGCGCCACAAGGTCGTCGTCAAAGGCCTGCACGATCGTGTAGTCCTTTGTAAAGCCGTACACCTTTCCCCACACCAGCATCGTACGTCGCTTGCTCTTCTCCATGAGGAGCGGAATCGACGTTGCGAGCGCGACGCGCTCACTTGTGGAGAAGACATGACCCGTGGCGGGTGCAAAGGTGAAGACGTCTGCCAACGACATCAGACTTCTCAACAGAAGACCACCACAGCAACGGGGAAAATAGTAATAGAATGGTCGGGATGAAAGGGAGAAAGGGAGAAGAAAAAGAGGAACTGGATCGATACGCAGGAAGAGACAGAGAAAAAGGGTCAGAGCAACTCATTAACCAACAGAGGAGGCCATCAAGTAAGTTGGCGTGTGTGCGTGCGTTATATATATATATATATAGAGAGAGGGAGGTAGGAAAGATGTGTGAATGCGGGCAGAGACCCCGATGGGGGAGACGTCCCATCCACGGCAAGCTAGACATGCGAGGCCCAGAAACACGAAAACTGAAACAAAATAAGGCATTGTCGTCAGGACTAAGCGGCAGGTTTCAAATGCGTGTCGAGGCCGGGCCGAAGCTCCGTCCGCTCCGCGTCGCTCAACAGTGACCACGTGTCCCTCAGCAGGGCTATGACATCATCCTGCAGCAATCCTGTAGCCAAAACCACCTCCTCGCGCAAGGCACGCGTCTCCGCCTCGGCAAAAGTGAACAGTTCAACAACATGCTGCTGCTCAATGGCCACACCCTTTACACTAACGAGCGCTCTGTTCAATTCAAGAAGAGCCCTGTCAACCGCATGCGCATCCGCATTCGCCTGAGTGGCGGCATTTGTTTCCAGCGCACGCCAAGAATTGGCAAATTCCCTCAGTTCATGAGTAAGTGCCCCTTTGCCGCCAGTTTCCGTCACTGAGTAACTTCCATCACTTGTGTCGCAGGCCCTCTGTTGCTCCTGCTGTTGGAGCGCCTCCCGCTCCATTAAGCGGCCCTGGGAAACAACAAACGAATTCCATCGCTGGTGAAGGCTATGCAGCAGGGTTGGTTCTGCGGCAGAAGAGGCAGGCGACAATCCCGCCGAAGTCCGCAGAAGCGGCGGCACTATCTCAAGTGGCTGTACGTACGACTCGTAGAGTTCCTCTGCGCGCAGCTCATGCGGCGGCGGCGGCGGACACTCCCTCGCACCCTCCGGCCTCACAAAAAGGACGCTGTCCTCGTTCCTACCGCTTGCCGCCAGCGTGTCTGTTGCGCGGGCCGCCGAAGTGAGTTGTCCCATACGACAACTCCCTCCAGAATAACTGCGGGTTGCCCTTCCTGGGCCTTCCGTGGCCGCTGTGCTCACGTTGTTGTCACGTCGAGCACGGCGCCCACCACGAGGCGGCGCAAGAAACCAAGAAAATAATAATAATAATAATAATAGATAGTAACAATGAATACACAGGAAAACAAAAACAAATCCCAAAACCATGCCGTTGAGTGAAAAACAAAAACAAAAACAAAGGGAAAGGGAAGCAAGAGAGAGAAAACACGTATGGAAGAAAAACATGCCTTCATCCGTTCACAGTTTCTGTCAACGGGGCGTAGAGAACGAAGACAGAGCAGCGGAGATGAAACCATGCCACGAACTGTCATGGCCACACACGGTACACGTCACGCACGCCTTTCTGACTGAGGGAGAAACAGCATTCTCCACGCGGCTGTGTAGGGCTCTTCACAAGGCGTGCCACACGATGCTGCACGGCATTTACCGCGCTACCCACGTCGAGACCCCCACTGACGGGAGGGGCGATAAAGACCACGTTTTGATGGCAGCTCTCCCTATCGCCGCGTGTTTCGGTTTCCCTTATCGCATCGTGTTGCTGTGTAAGCAGCAGACGCGTAGAGAGCCCGTACGCCCAAGAATCCCCCAGCGCGGGTATGAGAATGCGGGAGCTCTCAAGAGTGCCAGGCTTCAGCGTGCGGCTCGTTACCTGATTGCTTACGACAACGCAGAGATTTTGCTCCCGAGCGTGTTTTTGCAACAACTGCCCGCACCTGAAAAGCAGACGCGAACGGTGCCACAGCTGCTGCTTGGGTGTCACGGCGGTGGCAGATGCTCCGCCCTCGGGGGCTTCGCTTCCCAGCTGATTGGCGCCCAGTTGGGAAAAGGAGCGAAAGGGAAACGCGACGGAGTCGATGACGACCATTCGTATGCCTGGGTGAGAGGCAAGGTATGTGGGCAGCACGTTCAGCAACGCCATGAGGGAAACCACGTCCACGACGCGAAGACACTGTGTCTGCTGAAGCACGTGGTCCACCGTGAACAGAGCGGCAACTGCGGCCAGAGAGGCACCCGTTGCCCCGGGTCGAGCCCGCTTGCGTGACGCGGACGAGCCCGAAACGGGGCCACTGCCACTGCCGCTACCGAGCGACGAGGAGACGGTCAGGCCGTCTTCCTCGGCAACCGCAACACTGCTTCCAGCAGCACCCTCCGCTTCCTGCCGCAAAAGGACCTCTGTCACTTGCATTACGGCGGCGTGCGCAATTTCGCGAAAACGCTCCGGCACAAAACTTCCCTCGGTATCAATAAATAGACACGCCCCATTCAACCCACCCAACTCCTTCGGCAGCAGACAATCTACTGCGAGCTGCATAAGCAGCTGCGTCTTCCCCGCCCCTGGTGGGCCACAAACCTCTGTCACCGTGCCCACCGACATCCCACCGCCAAGAAGCAAATCCATGCCCCTGCAAAACGTCGTGACCTTTTCGCCTTCCGTTTCGGCCTCTAGTTTCAACATCTCTTCCAAGGTGCGAGTGCCAGGAGGAAGACAGTACCCACTTTCCGCAGGATCCCTCCCCTGGTAGAGAGGGAGAACAGTGCTCACTACCTCTACGGCCTCCGCCTGCGTCAGCTGCGGGCACCGCGTGAGAAGACGGGACACGGCATCCGCAGCGGCGGAGGAAGCAGTCTCGTGAGACGGTCCACCTTCAGCCTCACTGTGCGACAGCTTCTCCGGGAGGCGGCAGACGTCGTCCAACCAAAGCAAACCGGCATTCTGCAGCTTCGCCTTGAGGGAAGGGTTGAGGCAACTGCAATGCTCTACTGACATCGCGCCTTCCTTATTCCAGTCAACTGTGACGCACATGAAAAAGAAAAGAAAACATCACGCGAGAGAAGCGGAAAAAAACACTCTTGACAAGCGAGGGGTGAAGCAGTCATAAAAAGTTTGTGAAACGTCTAGTAAGAAGGAAGGACCGAACAACAGGGTTTTTAAACACTGCCTTCTGTGCCTGTCATCGCTGCGGCACTCGTGAAGAAAAAAAAAAAAAGGGGGGGGGGGGGGAAGGCTTGAGTTCCGCAAACTTCTTACCACTCCATGCGGAAGCAGCTGTCAACTAAAGCCTCAGGAACGGGCCATGGGGCCCGCGGGGGCAAACTCTCGCGACGAAACATGGAACATGCCCTCAAGCGTTTTTTTGTCGCGGTGGAAAGCCACGACGCATCACAGGAAGGCGTCATCCTTGCCCCTGATGAGGCACTTCTCAGATTACATCTAACAGGCTTGTCCACATTAATCACGGGTCGCCAAGCGTTCTGAAAACTTCTCTGCAGCAACTGACGGTGAACAACCATGTCCAGCATCACTTGTGTAAAGAAGAAAATGAGCGGCGGCAGCGAGTAGGAGGCATCCCCGCCTGTGGGAAAGTCGGGCTTCATAAAGGCCTGTAGTGCTGCATAGTCCTCGCTTGCTACCCACTCTGCTAAGCGCGCCAGACGGCTCAACATGCACCCTCGGCACTCTTTACCATCGTCTCTCTCCTCACAGTCATCGAGCAGCGACATAACGCGACAAAACACCAGCTCCGCGGCCGCATCATCTCCGGTGAACAAATGATAAAACAGTTGGCAGGCAAGCAAAATGTCTGCATCTGAGAGAGTGGGTTCATCACACGCTATTTTACCCAAAAAGAAGGCGTTAGCTTCCGCGTGGCGTACTTCCTCCGTGAGGTTGTCAAGGAGGCCCGTAGACGCAGCAAAAGACAAACTACTACTAATCAATTCCATGTCGTTTAGAATTGTCCCCACGCAGACGCTCCAAACCCAAACACACGCAGCCAGACGAGTGGCGCGAGTCTGCTCCCCTTGGACCACGTCACGCGTCCTAGGATCTCCAATGGCATGCGCCCTCGCAGACCGGGAACAGTATTGTAGAAAAGACAGCTCCGAAGCTGCTTCATGGTGGGGAAAATGTTTCATCTGTGGTAACAACTCCTGCTTAATCGCCTTCAACTGACTTGCAAGCCTCTCCACTCGTTGCACGGCGGCATGCACGGAGGAAGTGGCAACCTCGTCCTCCATTATTTCTTCGAGTACTTCCTCCCACTGCAGCTGCACATCCGTCATAGACTCCTCCAGTAGTGGAAGAGGACGCAGCACTGCGGGCATGCTGCGCGTGTAGGCCCTGCGAAGGGCACCCTCACCTGTCACTGCCGCAGCCATCACACGTTCGGTTTCTTGCGATGCCGCGCCGTCGCTCACGCGCGCGTCCCCCCCGCTACAACCCGCCTCACCCAAATTGCGTCAACAAAAAAAAAAAGGGAAAAAGAGGAAAATGGAAGCAAGGATGCCACTACACAAGAACAAGAATAGAGACAAG